ATTAGGTTGCATTTTGCCCCCCTTATTATATTATATATATTTGTTTTCTTTTTTTTTTTCTTTTTATTCTTTTTCTTTTTCTTTTAATTTTTAAATTTTCCAGAAACCTGCAAACAAAATTCAAAAATAAGGTAGCATTAATTGTCCTCAAAAACCAATTACTCACAATTAAACCAAAATATGACAATTTTGCCCCTATAAAATAATAATTCAAAATAAAATATATTAAATCAATGAACAATCAATCAAGGCAAAAAGGGATCAATTAAGTTGACAAAATTCATAAAAAAGATACCAAAATATATAAAAATAATTGAGTTTGTCACTTGTTTTATCATCTGCTTGAACATAACGCTTTTAAATGCATACAAAAAAGGGTTTAAGGAAGGATGTGACAATTTATCATAATGATTATTTAAAAGCTAAGTGAAAGGATTTGTTTTCTTGAATCAGATGGCCATCTTTGCCTTTTTATAAAATATATAAGATAATCAATGAAGGCTAAGAAAAGCTTAAAGACACAATAATATCATATTTGCTGAAAGATAGTGTGAAGAACACTTTAGAGCAACATAACTGAGCTTTTCAGAACAAGTTGTTGATAATTCACTTTATCCAAAAACTTATCAATAATTGAAGTAACCTTAGAAAACCATTTTAAACAGTTTCATCTCAAAGGTTATCGATAAATGGGTTTATCGAAAAACTGCTAGAAAAACTCTGAAGAAAAGTAACTTAGTCAGAGATAAAGTATGGCAAGAAAACGTGACTTTGATCAATAAGGTGATTGATAAGTGTATTTATTGATTAAATGGTCGATAAATGTGGTTATCGATAAGGTTATCGATTAATCTTTGAACAGAATTGAAGGTTTAGAGAAAAAGATAGGAACTTATCGAATAGCTAATAGAACATCAAAAGAAGTTTAGTAAAGCATACTTACTCAGTTTTAGAACAAGTTATTGAAGAATATGAAAATCGATAAGTGCATTGATAACTTATAAACTGGTCTAGGAGGACATAGTTCATTGAGGCTTACTATTATGTGAAAGCTGATCAAAGACCTCATTTATCGATAAGGTCATCGATAAATACCTATCAGTATTTAGAGAAATTTACCATTTATCTGATGGCTTATGAAAAACTTTGTTTATCGATCATGTGATCGATAAATGCTTAATAGTAACTATATCAAATGAGATTTAGCCATTTATCCAATACGTGATCAAATATTATAATTATCCAGCAAGTGATCAATAAACAATTATCAGTAATGATATGCATAGAAGCTTAACTATACTTTGTCATCATCAAAACATTAAATCTAACACAGTTTTATCCAAACAAAAAAAAAGCGTAGAGATTAAATAAAAGCACATACAATAGGTACTATAAGAATAAAAATTCAATATAGGAGAAAAGAGAAAATAAGGCCTGATTTTTTGGATCAAATCAAAACTCTCAAATGAACCATATATTTAGGACCAAAGGTAGGATATGTGTGTGTGTGTGTGTGTGTGTGTGTGTGAGTGCGTGTGTGTCATTTAGGGAAAATTGTTGAAAAATACTCCATTGAAAAATTTATTACTAAATATATGAAATTTTCCTAAAGACCAAGTGCAATATATTTTTATTGGGGACAACTCTACCTTAGTTATGTGCAACCTATCTTTAATTATGTGCAAAACGGAAAAAATTTGCATGTAGTTAAAGATATATTGCACACAATTGAAAAGTTCTACTCCTTTTAGGTCCTGAGTTCTCATATACCTTTCAATAATAATTTTGTTAGGAGGGATTTTTAAGCTATTTTTTAATGAAGTATATATGTACATATTAATATCACACTTTTGATCAGGACAAATAAGTGCTTGTCTAAAAAAAAATTATAGGAACATGTTGATATTGAGTATATATAGTAAAAAGTTAATTAATGTGTATGATTTTGCAGATAAATATGGGACTGAAGGACCTAGTGACCCACAACTACAGAGGGTCGAAACAGTTGAGCATAAGAGACCTTCCCTTGAACTTTTAGAGGATATATTTAGTTAACTACTCTCTCCATTCTCTTTAATGTCAAATAAAACACAAAGTGTTCAGTTATTTCACGGTTCCCCAAAATTTTCCTGCAATATTAACAAAACAATCAATTAATCGAATTTGGGATAACAACCGCCCCCTCTATTGCCCTTCAATTTTTCCTTACTTCCCTAATGTTTTCTTCTTACTTCTTTTTATCATTATATTCTATATGAAATGAGTAAAATTTTGATATCTTATAGGCAAAAAATGGTGCAGTTTTAATTTTTTTAATGATTTTGTATCTAAATTAAAAAAGAAACAATATAAGTATTTTTTTTCCTTTGAAATATCATAAAAACTGAAAATTGCACCATTTTTGTTCATAATATATCAAAATTTCACCCATTTTATGTAAAATCTAATAATAAAAAGAAACAACAAAAGAATTTGAGAAGTAGGAAAAAATTAAGGACCAAAAAAGAGGACATCTGAGTGGGGCAAATGACAACCCAAATCTCAATTAATCACATCCCAACAAGTCAATTGATAATTTCACAATGAGATCTCTTTTGTTTCAGCGGAGGCCAGAATTAGGTACTTGGAATTATGTGTGCCTGTTCACAAGTATGAATCTAAAGGCAATTGGACCAAAAAAAAAAAAAACTAAGCCCATATTAGATCAAAATAGAATGCTTCTTAATGTAGCCATAGCACTAGGATGGGCAACAGTACTTGCTGCAGCAGCAGAAGCAGGCCATATTCACTTTGTAGAGGAGCTTTGTGAACATGATGGATGAGAGCAACATACCTTTGGATTTAGAAGACCTTATGGGAAACACTGCCCTCTGCTATCTTGCTATTACAGGAAACTTGGATATTGTTGAGTTTATGTCAGAAAAGAATCCATTCTTACCAAAAAAAAAAGAAGTTGAGAAAATTTCACTCCTCTTCTATATGCTGTATTACAAGATCAAATGTGGCAACGTATCTATACTCTTTTACTGTTGATGAAAATTTTGGAGAAGAGGAATGGAATAAGTTATTCCTCAATTGCATCGACTCTGGAATTTATGGTAAGTGTATGTTGTCCATATAAAGTGCCAATACACTTAATTGTTGCAAGTGAAGTATAGGTTGTGGAGCACAAATTAGTATTGAATACATGTTAAGTAAAAAAACTAACATTTTTTGTGAAGTACTTGAGCTTGATATATATGTTGCTCTATGTTTCTTATTAAGTCGTCTAACAGCATCTAATTCTAGAATTTCCATTTGTTGCTTGCTTTTATTCAAAATTTCATAGATTTAGCACTGAGAATGTTGAAGATGGGATGACAGCTTTGCATACCATGGCTCAGAGCACAGCAGATTTAGGAAGTTATAGCTCAGAACATGAAAATTGACAAACTCAATTATTTTTATATATTTGGATATCTTTTATATGGGTTTTGTCAACTTAATTAGTTCTTTTGGCCTTAATTGATTGTTAATTGATTTAATATATTTTCTTTTGAATTATTATTTTATAGGGGCAAAATTATCATATTTTGGTTTAATTGTGAGTAATTGATTTTTGAGGATAATTAATACTATCTTATTGTTGAACTTTTTTTGCAGGTTTTTGAAAATTTTTAAAATGAAAATGAAAATTAAAAAAAATATATAATTAAAAAATAATTAAAAAACGTTTTGCTCCCCCCAATAACCTATTACTATCATCATCTTCGTGGAAAGACGAGGGGCATGAGGGAGTTGCGCAGCGTGAATAGAGTGGGCGTAGGGAGAAAGGAGCTTGGCGACGAGAAGGACCAGATCAGCGAGGCAGACGTAGACGAACAGAGTGGCAGCGTGTTCCTCCTCTCCATCCATCATTGTCAGCTTCTCTGTTTCTTCTCCTCCGCGTGACTGAACCAGCGACGAGCAAGGGCAGAAAACAGAATGCCAGCGGCATAAAGAACTCGGTGTGAACAGTGTTCTTCCATGGAAGCTTGTAATAGAGTATTGATTGTGGCATTTTTTATGGTAAGCCGTGGCTAGAGCTTAATAATTCTCTAATTCAACAATAATGACAGGAGTTCAAATATCAAAAAGGAGTTTTAGTTACTATAATTTCCTATTCAATAGTTTTTAACAATTCTTAGGTCTTAGGATAGTTGTTCTAATTATTAAAAAAATTTATTGTTTAATCTGGTTATATTTGGAGATTATTGTGACTAGATTATTGTTTAGTATTTGACATTGGACTGTTTATAGCTTTAATTTCAATTATAATGTTGTGATTATGACATTTGTATTGATTTTAGAGTTAATATACTGTGATTTTCTGAGGTGGCTCGGAATCTTAGATCATATTGTCTCTTGCTAGCTTTAATTCTGTTGTTTTGGATTTAAGAGTTCTAATTAAGCATTGGTTTTTAGCATCCTCAATCCCATTTTATTATTCTGGTTACAGTTAGTAAGTTGAGATTTTAGGAAAATATTTTGTGGCAATTCAATATGGCTTAGTTGTTGGATTAAAAACTTAATTATAATTCTAAATTCATTGTTTTAACTCTCGTATCTTTTAGAGTGAAGATTGCCTGCATTGTTGAATTGGAGGATTGACTTTTATTATTGTTTACTCGCATGTTTACTTTCATTTCTTTCATTGTCATTTATTTTAATTATTTTTATATAAAAAAAGTATTTTAATTTCAATTTAATTCATGACATTTAGTTAGCAATTCATAAAAAATCAAAAATCCCTTTTATAGTTTAGGTTACTTGGATTTATTTACTAGGATTTAATTTCGTTTTTGGCTCCTCAAAGTGAATACGGCCTGGATTGTGCACTATAATGCATTAATTCGGTTAATTTTTAGAGTGATTCCAAAGCAACAAATTAATGGCATTATTTCATAAATCAACTCACGAGTTCAGGTAAATCAATTAGCATTGTAACTATTTGTTTAGAAGATTAAGAAATTGGTCTTTACATGTCATCTATAATCTCCGTTTTTGTTATATGCCTAACATCTCAGATGCATCCAGGTGCCAAGCATTGTATTGCCTATGACTCTATGCATTTCTTATGGAAAGGAATTCTCAACGGTGCAGGCTCAAAGAAAAATTTGGAGAAAATGATAAACAAACTATCAGGACTACTATTTGATGCGGCATATGCTGGGAACTTTGACTTTTTAGCTGAGCTTATAAAGTCTTCCCCTGATTTAATGTGGCAGCAAGATGACCGAAGACGCACTATAATTCATATTGCTGTTCCATATTGTCACCCTAAAATCTTCAATCTCATCCATGATATACATGGAAGTATAAATATTACATCATACACGGACATAGATGGAAACAATATACTACATTTGGCTCCAGTGTTAGCATCAGAGGATCGGCTTGAATTAGTCTGTGGGGTAGCTTTCCAAATGAAGCTCGAGCTATTATGGTTTGAGGTACTTCCCTATTTGCAACTTTGAAATGGTTTAGATGATCCTGTAGCTAAAAACATATGTGAATTAATTTATGAACAACACTTTGATATGGCAGGAGGTGAGGAAGATCATGCTGCCATCATACATGAAGAGAAATTCACATGGTTTTACCCCTTACGAGTTATTTAGCAAGGAGCACTTTGGATTACATGAAGACGCTGAGTCATGGATGAAGACAACAGCTAACTCTTGCATGGTTGTTTCAAATCTTATTGGTACTGGAGTGTTTTCTGCTGCATTCAGCTTACCAGGTGGTACCAATTCAGGAGTTCCCAATTACCTTTGGAAATGATCATTTATGACTTTTCTTATGTCAGATGCTATTGCAATGATCTCATCTTTAGCTTCCATACTAATTTTCTTGTCAATCCTCATATCATCATGTTATTCAGAGAAAGACTTTCGCAAGTCTCTAGCCGCAAGGCTAGTATTGGGATTGATATCACCCTTCATCTCTATAACAAGCATGATGGTGGCATTTAGTAGTGCTTTCTTCGTGGCATATGACCATGGCTTAAAGTGGATTCCTAGTTTCATTTCGGCGCTTTAATGTCACAATTTCAACTTTTTTATTGTGACATATTTTTAATGTCACAATTTCAACTTTTTTATGATATCATTTACTCAACACATTATTTAAGATCTCTATACAAGCAACACATGCTTTACTAGAAAATAGAGGCTTTTCTGGAGAAGTGGTATCTTCTGCTCTCATGTCTGAAGCCTTAGCTGTAAGACAGGCCTTGAGAATGATTGATCAGTATGGAGTTGGTGGCTCTTTTATAATTGAATCTGATTGTGTGGTTTTGGTTCAAAGTACGAAAAACGGATGTGTCAAATAATGGTAGAAGACATAATTGGTGAGGTGGTTGGTGGAAGCGATGCGTAGTTAATGTTAATTGGGTAGGAGTTAATAGCATAAAAGGGGTGTGTCCTCTTAATTAACTGGGTCCATGTACGCCACCACCTCTTGCTAAAATTTTGAAGAATGACTTGGTAATTCTTCTGTTGCTACTTTTCAAAGGGAAGGTGCCGGCTGACTACTTTTGACATGTTCTATATTTGCATGTTAGGATTTGTGTGTTTTGTTCTAATTTTACTGCATTACCTAGGTTTAATTTGGTGAAGTATACAATTGTGCATACAGAAGTTCTAAACAAATGATTTCATGATGACGGTAAGATACTTGACACATTGGCTACGGACAAGTAACATAATAACAAGTTGCAATCTAGTTTGCATCCAATATTCAATTTCAATCAACTTGAGTAACGCTGAAGAATAACTTGAGAACTAATTTACTCATCCACAGAGGTCAATATTAGTAACAATAAGCTATATGAAATAACTTTTCAAGATGTTAAAACTTTTGCTAAGCTCAAACGTCATATATTATAGCTATCAATTTACAGAAATAATTTGAGCCTTATCTAGGGTTACCTATCATAATTAACTGGCCATTTAATAACCACTTTTGATCTAATTAAATTCTTGGAGGAAAAAAAAAGGTTTAAGATGCATTCAACATTCCGAAATATTTTTCTAGATGCATTTAGCAGCCAAAAATATTTTCTGATGAAATTTTACCCCTAATATATTAAAAGTGAATCAATCTTACCCCTAAACTAACAGCTCAAAAACTGTAATGCTTCTCTTTCTGAGCAAGGGAGCTCTGCAGAAAATGCAGAGTGAAGAGTTAAAGCACGGAAGAAGATACTATGAACAAAAGGATAACCGTCCTTTGAGATTCTCCATTCAGCTTCCTCTTTCTTCTGTGTTAAAATCAATCTCTATGGTGCTTTTCTTTATTTTGGTGACTGAGTATGGTTTTTCCTAATGCTACATTATCCTCATTGTTTAAAATGAAAAAACGGAAAAAAAAAACCCTTTGTTTTCTTCGTCTATAGTCGTGTCCACTTATCTTTATTGAGAAAATTCATTAATGTTTGCATTGTTGCTTTAATTTCTCTGGCATGTCCTCACTTGTTTTCGTTCGAACAAAAATGGTTGAAGCAAACAAAAATGGAGGAAGCTTTTATTTGGAGACAAAAGAGGAAGCAAACGAATGTTAGTGGTATAAGGAGCAAAATTGCACCACAATCTATATTAGTTTACGAAGCACGTAGGGAATATCAACACCCTAAAACACTACTCCCTCCGTTCCTTATTATAAGAGACGAATAACCGAATTACGTTGATCAAAAAAACAGTTAAAATTAGTTAAGAACAATTAATGTGTAAAAAGTATAATTTTTTTTCCAAAAATGCCCTCATTAATAAGGAGAGAGAGCATGAGAGAGAACAATAGTAAATTCTTAAAAGAAAGAGAAGTGGGAAGGAGAGAGAGTGTGAGTTGGAGACAATAAATATGGGTAAAATAGGAAATCAACACAAAAAAGTAGAGACAACTTTTAAATGTCTCTTATATTTTGGAACATACTATAAGCATCAAATGTCTCTTATAATAAGGAACGGAAGGAGTACCAAATATCAAGAGTCATGCACTACCAAAAAAAAAAAACAGCTCATCATTACCAGTGGAATTTCCATCAGTAAATTTACTGATAGTTAGCCATAGAATTTCATTTTGTCACTAATCTATTAATAATTTTATCAATCAATTTTTAGCAACAAAATTGGCATAAAATTAGCCGATGATCTCTTTTATTTAACATTAAAGATAGTTTGGTATTCACATATTATTTATTTTTGCATTGAAGAATAATGAGCATTCATAGTAATTTTACATACTCAGTATTATTGAAAATAGGATTGTCTTTAATAGGAGATATGTTATGAGTCTCGCATTGGGGAATCTCACAAGTATTGTGGAGTTTATAAGTTCAATGGGCTTTCCCTCCTAATAGACTAGTCTTTTGGGATGGGCTTTCCCTTTGGACTTATGTCCATCATATTGGTACTTTCATTGAGAGTAATCCCTTCCGCGATGGTTGACAATGAAGCTGAATTGGATGAGCACGAAGCAGGGATCAAGCAGTTTGCTACTAAGATAGAACACTGTGCTTCTAATATGATTACAAGAATGGATAGTATTATTAAAATGTAGGGGATTAATCAGCGATCCCCTACCCTCTTAGAGTCTAAGCCCTACAGCGCACTCATCATCAACTTATCAACCTATTCCGGAATAGAGTGATGGGATAGACGATCACGAGGTGGATACCAATGATCATACCATTACTGATTCTATAGAGCAATCTGAACATCATCATGTTACATCTCGTCTGGACCGAATTGAGGCTTTAATTGCTGCAAGGAAGCAATACGAATCTTCTTGTCTTGACCGACTTGAGAGTACCATTGCTACAATGATGAGTCAATCCAGAGTAGCCGGTGAGCTTATATCCTTGCTAACCACTGGTAATATGAGTTCAAACTCTATTATTGACCCACCAACACCATCACTCCAGCCCATTTCACAAGCTGATATTATGATTTCACAAAATCACCCTTCTCCTCTGTGTTTTGATGTTGACAATGCTCCATTGCGCATGAATATTCAGAGGCAATTAGTTTATAAACAAAGAGATGAGATAGTTGATCCTATTGTAACGAGCTCTGTCACCACATTGTTTGTCCAGGAAGTGGCGACCGATGACCATATGATTACCTATGTTGCCAACTCTGCTATGGCGAGCTCTGTTGCAGTCCATGAGTTCATTGAGTCGGAGAAACCACAAATTATGCATGAAGCGGATCACTACTACTTGGGTTCTATTTCCTTCACTCGACATATTGCGGTCACAATTAGGCCCAACTAATAGCACCCCAATCCAACCCTCTTCAGCATACTTGCAACTAGCTAGAGTTTCGTTCTTCCAGTGCCATAATAGAAGGTTTGTCAATCAAGAGTATTACAAGGCTTTAGTGATTGCTTGTCACAGTTCAGTTCATCATTGGAGGCTCTTGCACATTTTGATATTTGATCCTGGCTCAACTATTCGTTGTGAGTATTTATCTCCGCCCGATAATCTTTATAGTGGAATTTTGCTGTTGCCTTTACTACATTTTCCTCTGTCGAGTGATGATAACAAAGAGCGACATATATGCTGCTATTTTATTGGGATTTGTGAAGATGATTTGATTTTATGAAATTTAGTAATGTGTGGGTATGAATATCATCAAATATATGCGAAAGGAATACATATTGTCAGCCTCCTTCGTCTCATTGCTGAATTTTATAGCTGTATGGTCATGGGTTGTACTCTATTTCATTATATTGGAAATGAATTTCAACTTCACTTGGGTATTGGCTTGGATCTCCTTTATGTTTTCGATCCCGAGACAATGAAATTACAGAATGTTCAGTAGCTTATTCTAGTTGCACAAGATGGACCTATATTAAGCTTATCTCAGCTCTCTACAATACATGAGTTTTTTACCTTTGTATTAAATATCCCTCGATCCCTTGAATGGGTTGCTATTAGACGATATCAATTACGAAACATTTATTTGAACTTAATTCCCGGTACCCGCATGCTGGTTCCACTCTTTCCCATCTACTACGATCATTGTCCATTTTATACTGTTGCTACAATGACATTATTTCGGGGTCTTGTGTCTATCCTATATGTTGCTCCCATTGTATTTGTTTTGTACCTCCAAAGGGGGTCTAAAGTATTTGATGACATCGCAGTATTGGTTGGGAAATTTTGGGCGAATTGATTGTCACAGATCATAGAGGTGACATTATGAAATCCATAAGACGTGGCTGTGAAAAGGGCTCAATGTTCATCTTCTTATCATAAAGTTGTCCACTGGTTAGCCTTTCTTGCTCTAATGATTTCTTGTGGGACTCTTCTATGCTGTCACCTTTTCCACCCACTATACTAATGACACATTCTCCAACAGAACTGCAAATTACTAAGGGAAAGAATCCTTACTGTGAATTTGTTTTAGTCCAGCGTCATTCTCTCAAAGCCTATTAAGGTTCAAACCAAGTTCTACAGGAGGTTATTGGCTGGTATTTACAATGGGCCTTTGATCTTGATATCCATATCCAAGAGCAATTTCATCCCATTACCGATCTTGGAGTAAAAGTTATAAGTTCCTTATATAGTGGTGTTGGTTTTTTTATCCAACTTGGGACTCACACCACAGCTCAATGCAGCTAACAAAGTTCTACCACAGTTTGGATTGTTGGGTAGCTACTTCATTTGGTTCTATAAATTATGGCCAATGGGAAGCTTGGATGTCTACAAGCCTGGTAAATATTTTATTATTTTTGACATGACGAAGCCATGCCAAGTGATCATGGATGTTCGGATGGCT